GAAAATTATTTGCGTAAAGTCGACGTTGATAATGCTGAAAAGTTGCTCGCTCGATACGATGTTCCGATTAAGCCAACGAAAACACGAACGTTAGAGGAAACAGATCGATATTTTCTTTCAGTTTTACGGCTGCGAATAAGTATTAGCTGGATGATGATAGAGCGTCAAAAGGGTTGGAAATCGCGATAAAATACAACAATATGTAACGAAATTTGCGGGGATGAATATATGAGCATAAGATAAGATCATAGCATTGACAACGATCAACAGATCACAACGGTGGCAAATAATAACGACAACGAAAATAACAGAACACAAAATCGTGATAATAATAACGATTTAGGTAATGTTCTATTTCAGGTTGGTAAAATTACAACGGCATTTCGTTCGTGCGAACATTTCTTGCTCTGCTTTAAGCAGCATATTCAACTGCGAGTATAAAAGAAATGCCGTTTTGATTTTACCAAGCAACCTAAAAGACAAAATTACCACGATCTATTAAAAAACCAGTAATAACAACTAAAAGCGTGATAATAATAATAACAATAAATAATAAATCAGAATCAATTACTGCTATAATAATACTTATTATTCATGAAATCCATAAGCCATTAATTAGGTTGACACCATGAAAAAAAAAACACTCCGAACCCATCAAAAAAAAATTCGTAAAAGAATCAACAAAGCAACGTAATTGATGCAAACCGGACTTTCGACGACGTATCACCACAGCAAATAAGATCATTCGTTCATTTCTTTCACTTCTCCAATTGCTTCACATCATTCTCACGCCATCCCTTCTTCATTCAACGAATTGAACCAATTCACAATCCAATCGATTGCTTTCATCATCCAATTCACTGCTATTAACCATCACCACCTGCAATTGAACATTCATTCAAAATACTGTTATGACTCTAGCTGTTCAATAATATCAATATATTGCACTCTTCCATATTGCAATACGAGTGTAAGCACAAATCACATTACATTTCACTGTTTAATCAACTCTCAAAAAATATTTTCACTTATATTCCTCGCTTATTCACATTCTATGACAGCTTGTTAGCAACGTATGGATAGTTCAACGTTCTCTATCGATGAGGTTTCGTCAATCAACTCAGGTAAGCGTCTTACTGAATATGAAATATTTCTGCAAAGATTGAAAACCAAGCATATAAAACAAATTAATTTGCTATCCCTACACTGAACCCGAACTTATTCTGTTAATTGACATTTGTAAGTGAAACAAACAGCAGTTAACTTTATTGCATTGCATTTATGCTACACGACTTTCCCTTAAGCATTCTCTAAACATATAATGTTTGGCATGCAAGATCGAAACAGTGCCAAACAACTTCATCTCGAAATGACACAAATGTATAATATTGAACTTACGTGAAACATAGTTATACTATTGTATAACTACTATGTTTCATGTAATTTCGGTATGGATTAGTTTGAAATCATGAACGACACAGCGTTTACACAGAGGTCGATTGCTGTTGTTGGAAAGCTTCAATGGAAAGATTATGAATTTTCATTAGCACAACGAATACTAATGAAAACGATTGGTTTTGCTAAACTGGAAAGTGAACTGAAAACAATCAAAAGCAATATTTGCAATTTCTGTTAAGCAGACTACACAAATGAACTCAAATATTATAGAAGGTTCTCTTTAAAGAACGAGCACAGAAGTGAGCATAAAAAGCGAAGAAGTGCGATGTTTCTCCATTTGAAACGTTCTTCTTTTTCAGATTCTGCACTAACTAATAACAATGACGAGTATTATCAGCAATCAGAGAAACGATCTGAATTATCTGACGAGAATGAACTAAGTGCAGAAAGCAGTGAAGAATTCGAGGTGCTCTCTTAAACTCACAGTTCTTTCGTTTTCAGTAAATAAACTTCGAGTCTGCAACAGAAAGAAATCCCCTCAAATGTTTCATCCTTCTCATTGACTCTTATGTTTGACTATATCAGACTCATGAATACAGCCGATTATTATTTCTAGGTAATCAGAGAGAAGACAAAACTGGTTGAAGAAGATAGGAGCAAGAGGTGTAGTATTGAGGATATGCAAAGTATATTTCTCACAAGTAAATTGGAACAATCGTGCACATCAACTGATAATGCCTCTGATAAGTTTAATAACTCAATTGAATGAAACGTTCAAATAAATTCAACAACAAAGCACACCTACCAGCTCTCTCGAGTGCTGCAATAATTTTTATTTTTAGTAAAAAGTTTTCTACATTGTTATCGCACACTTTGTTTGTAATCAAATGAATTTTCTACGCTAAGTGGTCACTTAAACTGCGATATTATTTTTGTCAATCACGTCAACTGGAAATTTCATAAGCGTATGAATATTCTGTTACAGATAATATTATTCGGAAGAGGTCGATTAAAAATGAGAAGTGTATTTTGCATAAAGATTCGATCAGCGATAAACAAACTGAACAGAGGAGCCAAATCGGAGATGGTGTACATAAGGAGAATTGCTACAAGGCATTTTTTTGATTAAACCGATTCACCACGACAGCATGCATACCTTTTCTATTGCTTGAGACATACATCTCAAGAGAACATTCTCGTTGAATCATTTCAGATAATCTCTTATTGTCATCTAGAATGCGGACAGTCTTTATTTTTGATCAACGGATTTTGGCTATTCTTTATAAAATCAGTTGAACATTTCTCAAACATTATGTTTATTCGATTCGATCAAAATAACAATTGCTTAATTTTTACAGCAGCTGACCATTAAAAATTACTCGGCTTTGATAATCATCAGCATTGTTTCAATCATCGTATCAGCAGTAATCATTCCAATCTACCGTTCTCGATTCAATCAGGTAGATGCTTTGTGTTTTGACACTGCATCATAATCACAACATACCAACAGCTGTAATCGGCTTTACAGCAACTTTTAAGGATGAAAAAGCAATAGCAGCAATCAAATTACGAGATGCTATCATCACCGAACAAAAACGAATCATTGAAGGATTTCGCACTGAGGCCAAGGTATTGCTTTGAAATCAACGATTGGCACTTGTATAATTTATGATCCTTCACACGAATTCAAAACATTCCAGTGATGAACTGATGAAATTTAGAGCCAAAAATCAGTATTTTTGAGCAGATTCGAGTGAAACTTAACAAAACTATTCATTGTCTTACAAAAATTAGTTGTTTCTTTGAAGAGTTTCACATTGTGTTTGAACTTTTAAGAATGCGAAGGATGAGACTGAAACAGCAGCAATCAGCTTAAGAGATGGTATCATCGCAGAACAGAAGCAGATTATTGAAGAGTTGCGCGATGAGCTCAAGGTATTACAATTCCTTATTGTTAATTGATGTATAATGTGATCGAAAGCAGTCAGTTGTTTGAGAATATGACACACATAATGGATGTCAGCCACTAATGCCTCACCAACAGCTCTTATTCATTATGTTTCAGAATTTACGGACAATTACTTCCGATTCTCTGAAAGTGACAATCGGTGAAGAGAGGTATCGAGCATTTGAACGCAAAAGTGGATATGATTATCGAGTAGGGTTGAACGATTTGGTATTTCCAATAGGAAATGAGACACATTGATGAGATAAGTTTAATTTAGATGGTGATTATGGACTGGAAGAAAGAAGGGAACGACAAGGGACATTTGTCACGTCAACATTTACGTTTATCGCTGAAACAGTGTAATAGAAGTAGCATTTTTGTTTACGATCACGGACCTGTCTCGGGAAGATTGTTCAGTGTTGGCGATCGTTTCATCGATGTCGATGGAAAACATTTCACGGCGGTAACCGAACTCAGAGATTACATTCTATGGTCGTTCAATAAACGGGT